ATGCACGGGACCAGTAGAATCTCTGATTCCTTATTCATCTGGGATCTCATTCAGCTGATAGAGTGGGGAAACTGAGTCTGGGGGAGGGGATGGGTATTATGCCAGTGAGCCCAACTTTTCATTCCATTTCATCTGACTTCTTTATAAATCATTCTGTCAAAGACACAATGAAATAAGCAATCAAAAGAAATGGAAAAAACAGACTCAGATTGGGTAGAGCAGAGAGAATCAATGAAGGCGACACCTCCCAGTGCAAGTTGTTTTATTTTAGGTGTGCCCTTCTCAGGGTCCCCTCCCCAACTTCCTTAGAACAAACAGTCTTTACTTTTCCTCCTACTATTCAAGATCCCACTGGATTTTCACCCACCACCACCTTTGAGGGACACTGCTCTGCTCTAAGCCAATAGTTTTCATTTTTTCCCTTGTGAGGGTCTCCCTAAGTAATCCAGGCAGACTTTGAATTTACTATGCAGCCCAGGCTGGCCTCGAACTCCTGGTAATTCTCCTGCTTCAGCCTTCAGCTGTGATTACAAGCGTGTACCACCATGCCTACTTCATTTTCTCCTTTTTTGAGAGAACTTTCCTACAGATGAAATTTCATGAAAATGTCAAAAATAGATGTAAGGAGAACTGCTCAGGGTGAAGCGGTGGCATCTGTTAATTTCTTCCTTATTCTTCTTGGTGGAAACTCTAGGGACATACACATTTTTAAAAAGCCTTTATTCTCTTTTGTCATTGCTTTCTTTTCATCAAAATCTACCAGAAGTTTTGTTTGTTTTGCTTTGTTTTGTTTTGGTGCTAGGGATTGAACCCAGGGACCCATGCATGCTAAGAATGTTCTCTATCAGAAAGCTGCACCTTTGCCCCCAAATCTGTTTTAAGTCGTATTTTTTTTGAATCATTGACATGACAACTAGCTAATCTTATCAGGTTATTGGTTTATCCATTTATTCAGGATGGCATAATAATAGTAAAAGTAGTAGTAGTAAAATAAGAATTAGGATCCTACTTGACAATATTTGTATTTTAACTGAGATTTTATGGAAACAACACCTAAATTAAAGAAATGATCCCACTCATGAAAAACCCCAGGCACTTGCTGCATCTTCCTAGGATATATGGACATATTTCCAGAGTCCCATTGGGAATGGTTCCTTCATGTGTGGATGGGGTCACGCCAACGTCCAATATCCTCTGCCACTTTTATAATAGTTGCCTTTCAAGTAGCATCTTAATGAAAAGTTAAATGACAAAAGTGAAAATTCTTATTTAAGAGAATCTTCTCTCCCTGGATTAATAGAAATGATACTATAGAAACATTAACAGGACAGATTTAAAATAACACCAGGCAATTCTATTGCTTTTGATCCTGTCTCTGAGGAGGCAGATTGGGTATTTGTGGATATTTTGTTGCCAAATGCTATTCACACACTAATTTCCCAAAATGTTAACTGAGGCCGCTATCCCTCCTGAAAGTGCCTCAGGACCCCTTTCCTTCTCCATGGTAACTCCCTCAGCCTCCACAGGAGGGCAGGAGACACCACGGTGCAGGGCTGTCTTCCTTGCCGTCTTTTGGGAGGAGAATCTAGCCTGAAAAGAATGCTACAGTCAAGCTGCTAAAGTTGCCCACACCAGATCTTGTCGGCTCATCTCAAGGAACTTTCACCCTTTTAAAATATTCTTCATAGAAGAGACTGCTGAACAAATAACTGGAGAATCTATGACTAGCTTGGAAGCTTAATTTAATAGCTATATTCAAAGGCACAGAATATAGCATGAATATCTAAAAGCAGGTTTTGACTTGTAGTTTGCTCTTTATATCTTCATTTTTAGTAATACAAACACATATACATGTACACACACACACATACAGAGAGAGAGAGAGAGAGAGAGAGAGAGAGAGAGAGAGAGAGGCCTTAGTGTGACTCGTTAGCATTGGAGTGGATTTCTATTTGAAACATACTGACAAGAAAGGAAATGATCCGCTTCATACATTGCTGTGGATCACTCACATGATATTTAAATGTGATTTTTTAAAAAAATATAGGGGTGGTGATAGATTAACAGTCTGAAGGTCTTGGCTCCTAGTCATGGTTACAGTCCTGATCAGCTTGTGATCATGGGCCCCAGTGGATTTTTATCTGTGAAGTAATCACAACAGCCTTTTCCTGCAGAGAACTTTCCTTGCATAGACCTGAGGCTGGTAGCAGTAAAGGAGAGCAATGCCTACCGCAGGGTAATAGTGAAGGATAACAGATCACACCCTCTGCAGTCCCTGTCTTCAGTGCTATCTGCAGTCCCACATGACGCTACATGGAATTCTGGAGGTCTTCAGCCACAGCACATAGGCTCATTACTTTGTTTCCTGTTTACTGATAACTTGTAGCAGATAATAATTGCTGTGGGCAAAGTGAAGAGAGAACAGACCGAGCTGTACTTGCAGGCAGGATCTATACTTATTGGACAGAGGGTCCAAAACCATGAATCATCATTAACCAGATACCATACTGATAGAAATTAAAATAGTGATAAGACAAACTACAAGTGTTCATTTCCCCGAGGGAAGGGATGGAGGACAGACCACAAGGAGGAAGCCTGTCCTGGACAACACTTGAGAGGCGGATGGGATGTGAAGAGCAAGATGCAGAGCAGGCCAAACAAAACCACCTGCATCCCAGGGCTGGCAGGTGGGCAGAAGGGAAGATGAGGAGTTTTGAGGCTGTGGGTTTGCAGAGGAGGCATTTGCAGGCAGAGCAGAAAAGGGGAGGGTACTGACCAGCAGAGAGTGGCCAGAGGGACAAGGAAGAGATATGGAAAGCAGTGGGCTTGGTAGGAAAATATTAAATGACAAGGGAAGAATCCAATGTGGCATCTGACCCTGGATGACAATAATATGAAAAGGACATGTGCACAAAAAATAAAGGGAACTCATAAAGGCAAAAATATTTTGATTTGCTCTAGTAGTAAACATTTGTGAAATAATTTTTATTTCAGCTCCATTTTCTTTTACGTTGTTAATTTGTTAATTGATAATTTAAAAAATTAGGGGCCAGAGAAGAAAGGGAAGGTAAAGCAACTGCAAATCTCAGACAGAACCTGATACTCATGAAACAAAAACTAGAGACACAAGTTAGGACTGGGATAGAGCCAGAAGTATCCATGGAGGAGGTCATGGGGAGAGCAGCCAAAAGCCCCGGGGTTATGAGCACAGGCTCTGGAGCAGTGTGACCTCTGGCCTCAGTTTCCCTGCCTGTAACACAGGATGATGTGGCACTTAGGAATGCCGTGAAGATTAAATGAAACACAATTTGTAAGATTCTTAGAAGTGTGTTCTCTGTGGGTGTTTGCCAGTACCTGAGGGGGGCTGGGGTCCACAGTGGAAGGCATTGTACCAATTTTGGGAAATTGGAGGAGTGAAAGAAGAAGAGAGCAAAGGTGCTCTGCAGACTGTCAGTGAGTAGTTTCTACAGGGAGGGAAGAGAAGATGGAAAGGCAAATAGAAGCAGGGGAAAGGGTGGGAGAGCAAGAGAGGATGCACACAAAAAGTTTCTTGGGGTGGAGGAGATCACCTGAGACCAAATGAAACCAGGAGAACGAGGTGGGGGGACAAGGAATGAGGTGGTGGCTAAGTGATGATCTGCTGCAGAGGGCCCGCCTGGGTGCTGTCCCTGGCTGCATACTTGGCTGAGTGACTTTGGAAAAGTCACCTATCTCTTTGGATGAAATTTTTTCATCCATGAAGGTGAATACGGTCAAGCCAGCCTCACGGTATTGCACTGATTAAAGGGGGACGTTGATGGTTGGTGCTTGCGACCTTATAAAATGCGAAAGGGAACACTGCGGTCTATAGTACGCCAGGGCACAGGGCACTGCGCAAGGGAAGAAGCCTCTGCCCCCAAAATGAGCGAGGCAGTGGGCGGAGAAGACACACAGTGAATCTGGGGACAGATAGGGAAACTTGTGACGGGGCGGCTGGGCTGAAGAGAAACAGATTGGGGTGGGAGGGGTCCGCTGGACCGGGAAGGGGGAGGCCGGGAGGCAGAGGGTGGGTGGGACGCAGAGGGAGATGGGAGGGCAGTGAGAGCAGAAAAGCAGGCTGGGGAAAGGGTTTTTGGAATGCAGGAGGAACCTGAGGAAGGAGGAAGTCTGGAAGACAGGAGGGAGAGAAGAGAGGGAAATGGGGATGCAGTGGAGGCGGGGAAGGCCGAGAGGCGAGAGGAGCCCGCGAGCAGGCGAAGGAGAAGAGCGGTGGCCGAAGCCGGCGTCAGAGGAGGTTGGAGACCGCGGGGCGAGAGGCTGGGGCCTGCAGGGCGCGCAGCAGCTTTAGCTTTTAGCACCGCTCCAGACTCCAGAGACGCGTGGCCTCTGCCTGACCTCGAGGGTCGGGAAGAGACGCCCGTCCTTGTGGAGAGCGGTGCCCCACAGAGAGAACGGGGCTGGGCCGAGCCGGCCCAGGCCGAGGCTTCACGGGCTCCGGGTTGGCCCCCGAGGGGCACAAACTACCGCCCTGACGCTCGGGGCCGAGGAGAGGAGCTGCCCTCGGCCGGAGCCTGCGGCAGAAGCGCCGACTCCGAGCGGTCTCTGGAGGGCGCCGCCGTCGCTCCCAGCCTAGTGCGGGCGGCTGGCAAAGCCCCGCAGCCGGAGCAGCGTGGGGCAGGGGCCGCTCCTCCGAGCGTGCGGGTGGGGACCCTGGCGCTGCGGGCCAGGCCCTGCCCCGGCCGCGGGACCGCCCGGCCCGGCGCTCGGGTCCGCGCGGCGCTCACCGCCCGCAACCCCGCGCGCGTCTCGCGGGGGCGCTGGTCGGCCCGGGACTGAGTCACCCCAGCCCCTCTCCCCACACCTCTGGCCCACACCACCCGGCCTCTCCTCGCACCCGCCCTCCCCGCCGTCCTCCCTCCCCTCTTACCCCCTCCCGGCGAGGGGCGGGAGGGGGCGTGGCAGGCCCGGGGTTTGTGTGGCTGGGGCCCGGCTCCGTGCACTCGGAGTCCGCGCGAGGAGCCGGGCCCGGCCGCTGTCCAGCCGCTCCGCCACCCTCGCTGCCCGCGCGCCATGGATACTCCCCGGGTCCTGCTCTCGGCCGTCTTCCTCATCAGTTTCCTGTGGGATTTGCCCGGTTTCCAGCAGGCTTCCATCTCCTCCTCGTCCGCGGAGCTGGGCTCCACCAAGAGCGTGAGGAGCCGCAAGGAAGGGAAGGTGCCGCGGGCGCCGCGAGAGAGCGCAGCCGGCCGGGCGCCCCAGGAGCGCCGGGAGCCGCAGCCCGGGCGGCCGCAGGAGGAGCCCCGCGCTCGGGAGCCGCCCGGCCGGGGCCCGCGCGTGGTGCCCCCCGAGTACATGCTGTCCATTTACAGGACTTACTCCATCGCCGAAAAGCTGGGCATCAACACCAGCTTCTTCCAGTCTTCCAAGTCGGCGAACACGGTCACGAGCTTTGTGGACAGAGGCCTGGGTGAGTGGCGAGGACGCGACTCCTCTCGGTTGGAGCTCGGCAGCCAGAGCCTGGCTCCAGCTTCTGCCTGGCAGGAGGCTGCGCTTGTGAATTCCCTTCCCGCTCGGTCATCTCCCTTTTTTCTTTTCTTAAACTATTTTCCTCAAGTCTGAGTAAGTTTCTGAATGCGGCTGCAGATGTTGCTCCAATCTGCAATTCTGCCTGCCTGGCTTCTTCCTTCCTTCCTTCCTTCCTTCCTCCCTTCCTTCCTTCCTTCCTTCCTCCCTCCCTCCCTCCCTCCCTCCCTCCTTCCCTCCCTCGTTCGTCTTTTGCAGTGGTGGCCGCTGCTTTGGTAGTTAGTGGAGGAAGCGTAGAGGACAGGAAGAGGCAGGCATCGACCAGGAGTGGAGGACGGTCAGGGCGAGGGCCGTTGGGGCTGATGCAGCCGGTGCCTGGGGTCCTGGGTTGTGCGGAGTGTGCGGTCGGTCCGAGGCCTGAGCCCCCGGGCCGAGTCATCCGGCCGACGGGTGTGAGTGAGCGCCGGGAAGCCCGGAGCGAGTCAGTCGGGCTGTCCGGGGCGCGAGGCCACCAGCGGCGCCAGGGAGCAGTGGCCCGGCTGCCGCGGGGTTCTCCGCGCGTGCCCGCGCTGGACGTGCGCATCGTCAGGCCAGTGGGCGCCCGGCACACTCTGCGTTTCGCTTCTTTCTTCCAGCACTGCGCGGTCGGTGTGAGCACAACCTGTGCCCTCGGAGGCCACAACCCGAATGCTTTTCCCGCAGGCAGGTGGCAACTGGCGGGGTGGGCCGGGACGGGGACAGCTAGGTCTGCGTTTTGGTAGCTAGTGCACAGGGTTGCACGCGCGTGCCTGTCTACCCACCCTTTCCGCCGGACCCCGCTCCTCTCTCGGCGCCGGGCCCCACCCCTCGGCCCCTCTGCCAGAGCGGGTGCACGTGTGAGCGTCGGTGAAAACCCCTTATCCTCGGTTCTGCCACCAGCACTCGTCTGCAGCGTGGCCAGTGACCTCGAGAAACCTCGCCCCCTGCCTCCAGCCTCGGAAGTTGGGGAGTGGGTTCCTAAAGAGGAGAGACAGGCAAAGAACCCGAAGAAAGCAGAAAAGGGGGAGGAGAAGGAGAAAGAAAGGAGGGAGGACCGCCTTGAGAAGAAAGGAAGGAGATCAAAGCGCGGCAGCTAGCCTCTCCCTCCCCCAGGCTGAGCTCCCGGACTTTGCCTAGTCTCTCACACTTCCCAGTCAGTGAAAGTGGGAGTTCGCCCCGAGCCCGAGAGCGCTGGGCTCCTGTGGACGAGGCTGCCTTGAGTGCTCCTGCCTTCTCCAAGGGCTTCGGAGAGGGTAGCAGGTCCCCGGCCCTCGGTCCTCGGTCCCCGGCCCTCGGTCCTCAGTCCCCTCTCCCTGGCTTTCTCCTTCCGCGCGCCACGGTCCTGCCCAAGCTCATTGCCCCACAGCAGCCGAGGTCATGGGTTATGAGCTGCTGAAAGGTCTCGACATCACATTAATGCCAGGTATTTTATGAAGTTTTTCGGACCGCTGAAGTCATCTTTGCAAAGGCGCTCGGCTTCTTAGTGCTTAGGGCCTGGGGCCCGCGCCCCCTCTCACCAACCCTGCCAGGACTGTGCCCCTCCCTTCAGGCCCTCCGCTGGCCTTGCGCCTTTTCTACTGCCTTCACCGGAGGGGAGCCTCAGCAAGCCCAGAGGAAACTGCTCCTGCGCCCCTTTCCCAAGGGACCCGGAGGCCTAGGCTGCAGACAGTTGAGCGCTCATTTTCATTTCCCGGGAAATGGGAAGAATCTCCGCGCCCCTCCCTCAAGCAGGCACCCTAACTGGTTCGCTGAGCCCCCTGAATTTGGCTCAGCACCAAGGGACGCTGCGAGCTGCTCCGAGGGGTCTGCGGACGCCCTCGGAATTTAGGCAAGGGGGAGGGGTGTCTTGGAGGGCCCTAGCCAGGTCTCGCAGGGAGCTCGCGTCACCCTAGGCTGCCCTGCAGGCCCCCTCCCTTCCAGGGATGCGAGTCTGAGGGCGCCGGAGGAGGCTGGGGGAGGGGGCCTCTCTGCCCAGGCCAGGGTCTCTAGGCCAGTGCAAGAGATCCAGACCTCCGGCTTCAACCCGAGAGCGCTGTCGAGGGCTGGGGCTGCGGCCGGTCCACGGCCGTAGGAGACGCTGCCCAACCACCCGGAGGGCAGCTTCAAAGCTTCTTCCCCTCCAAGCCCCCCGGGTTCCCCGGAAACTCGAAGAAAGGCAGCTAGGCGGCTGGTGCGGCGGACCGCAAGGCGCGAGGAGCAGAGGAGTGGGGAGCCCCCCGCGGGAGGGGCGCGGGGGGGGTGCGTCTCTGTCTGCAGCCCCAGCTTGATAAAGGAAAAGCCTCACTTTCCCTCTCACTGATTCTGATTTGATGTGTCACCGGCGGTGACCTCGGGCTGGACCTTCCGGGGCTTGCTTAGCATCGGGCCCCTGATTGGAGTGTTTCAACTCAGCGATCTAATTGAGGGTTCATGTCATAACACATCAAACGCGGTCTAGTCTCCCGTGATGGAAGGGACCCGCTAGCCGCGCATCCCCAGTGCCGGCCTGGCGAGGACTTCCGCCCTGCTCACGTGGGGGTGCTTTCCCGCGCCAAACCCTCAACATCCCCTCCCCCAGCCCAGCCCGGGGGTGGCTCAGCAAGGAGCGCAGAGCAGGGGTCTGTCCAGAGCTAGTAGTGCTAACTTGGCGCCTTGCCCCGGGGACGTTTAAATCGCTGGAGACGATGGCGAGCTCGGCGCCGAGGATCAAGGATCTCTCTAAGGGGAAGGGCAAAGGGAAGAAAAGGAGCCAAGCCAGGCGAGGAATGACTTACCTGTAGTATTTGTAAAGCCTTTCTCACGTGAGAACCCAAGAGTTAGTTATCCTGAAGCAGGGGTCGGGAGTGGGAGGGCATAGAGACCCTCTCCCCAGAGTGAGCGTGAAGAGCTCCAGAGCTTGGAAGACAGCACTTGCCGCCCGATCCCGCCCCCTGCCGCCTCTCTCAACACTCCACCAGGTGGTCCCATTGCAAGTTAAAAGAAAAAGTCCTTCCGAGGTTTGCTCTTTGAACCTGTAAGGATAATGATACTAGCCAAGATTTATTGAACTTTTACAGTGGGCCAAGTACTGTGCTAAAATCGATTACATGAACTATTTCATTTAATTCTTCCAGCCATTCCCAGAGAAAGGGGCTGTAATTACCCCATTTTGCAGGTGAATTAGGAAGGCAGAGGGGTTAAGCAAGCTGCCCAAGGTTACACAGCTATAGTGAGAGGTAAAACTCATACTATTCTAGACCTTGAATGCTGAGTGCACAATGCTGATAGGGTTAGGAGGTGTCTAACAATGGTGGTAAGAAGTTTAAAAAGTGAGATTTTCTTCATGGCCTAATATTCTTCTGTAGTCTCTTAAGATATACTTAGGAATTTCATGGAACTTTGGATCGAGGGGTCAGAACTTGTGTCGTACTTGGCTTCTTCCTGTACTTGTTTTAGCAGAGGTACAAACGTACTTTTCCCCTGATCTTTTAAAATGTCATCATATCATGCTTTAAAAAACTGATTTTAGAACCATAAAGAGGAGGAAGTGTGTATTGGTGAAATCATAAGATTTGAATGGACCAGATTAGATACATGAAGATACAGTTAGCTCATGAAATCATTCACTAAAAGGCCACTAGTACTGGGGTTCTGGGGCCCTAGGCCCCAGCTCTGGGGTCTGGGGAGGGCAGACAATTGGAACTTCTGTGAATTGAACTGGGCTGAGGAATAGAGGGGAGGTGGGATGGGGGGAAGGCCTTGAGAATGAGCCAGCCTGCAAGGGGGAAGAGCACTCAGACCCGTAGTCTTTGTCGTTTGTGAGAAGTACCACAGAAGGAAAAAACCTCCCAAGGACGGGTGAGGCACAATGAGTCTAAGAATTTGCTGCGAGCTAGGTTTCCAGATGACTTTGAAATAAAAATACTCTTTAAACTGTGTTGCTGTTGTTACAGTAGCGTTCCCAGAAAGGGGCCAGTAAGGAAGAGATAAAAACCAAAACGAGATCGGAACATCCTTGAGGAACTTGACACCCTAGAAGTGGCTCTCGGGGGAGTTAGCTGCTGATTGTTTTTTGGCTTCTCCCTTACCTTCTGGGTCCTCAAGATCTGGCGGCAGGGCTGGACCGCGCCGGGGACGGATTGGCTGCTGGGAGGGCATTCGAAGAGTCGCAGAGTTTCCTTGCGACGGCAGTTTGTCTGGAGCATCACATTTATGTAAAACGGTGGGGTTCTGGGTGGAGCTGGGCCGCAGAGTAGTGTTATCAACCGAGCGGCGCTTTTGCCCGGACCCTGTTGTCGTTGGCAAACGGAAAATGAAATATAAGCAGGGAAGTATTTTAATGGGGACGGAGGGAATTCGCAACTGTTAATTATTTGGTGACCTTGTATTCGATTTGTTTGAGTCCCTTATAAAAACACTAATTCAGACCAGACGGCCAAGTGAGGAAGCCGGGCAGAAGGTTCCAATCTAGGCTTTATTTCCCCGGAAAGCGGGAACAGCCTTGGAAGAGGCTGGCCAGGCGTTCTAGTGCGCCCGGGAGGGCGCGTCCAGAGTTTGGGTGGTGGTCCGGGTTCCGGGTGTTCCCGAACCTGGGAACCCAAAGGTCCCGGGAAAGCCGGAGGGAAGGTGGAGGGAATCTGAAACTAGAGGTTCGTTCTGCTTTTCTGGTTGGAGTGATTCAGACTTGCTAAGGCCTCAAACCACTCCCTTGCCAGTCGGTGGTTAAATACCAGTCACTGTCACCTCCATCCCTAAGGCCGAAGGGCCAGTTACGGGAGAAGGCCAGAGGTTCGGGACGCCCTGCGCCTTCCGCAGCGAGGGTGCAGGTTTGGCCAGTACGTTCCTGGCTCGTCTCAGAGGGACCTGAGCATTGTCCTCCGCAGGCCTCCGGGAGCTTGCGCGCTGGAGTGGCTGGTGGGAGGTCCAAGGCGTGCCCACACCCCCCAGTCGCTTCTGCACTTGAAGAAA